TTAAATAAATAAACATAACAATAAATGCAAAAAATAAAAAGCTGGAGAAAAAAAAAACAAGAAAAACTCAAAAATCCACCGGAAGTGTTGTATTCTCAAATATTCACAGGCCCAGAACTACGAAAGAAGTTTCTTCTACCAAAATGTGTACAGGCTAAAAGAAACATGTCCCAAAAACGTGAAATGAAAAAATATATATATATAAATATATATATATATATATATATATATATATATATATATATATATATATATATATATATATATATATATATATATATATATATATATATATAATTTTTTTATGCCGTGCCAAGTTTGAACAATATTAGAAATCTTTTTCCCTGAGTTAATTTATTCCTCAACATGAAAATAACAATATATACATTAATTTGTATTCTGCAGATTTTAATGATATGTACTGTCCGTGGTGTTAATTTAAATGCGATACCTCAAACAATTAAGACGAAAAACATTACCAAGTTTAGGGCATAATTGCCCATATATACATGTTTGGATATTTCTTCGAAACTCGTCTTGAAGAATAGTAATCATATCTTAAGACTACACTTACCTAGGCTATACATAGATCATTCTTAAAAAGTTAAACATCTCTACCATAAATATCTTCGGCTATAGCGCGCTTCAAAATATGGCACAAACGACAATTGTCCAAAACCCGTCGTCCTTCCTCGCTCCTTCGGGAATCTATTTCTTTAAAACCAAGCATGCCAGACGATTGAAATAAACGGCATTGTCTTTCGCAAGTAATGCGGCGCCACATGTAAAAATGCGAGAAAAAAAAAAATTACGAATGTACTTCACAGCTTGAATCCAAACGAAACCGCCCGCCCGTCTTTCGAAGTTCGACGGACTTCGAACTTTTACCCTAAAAGTTCGAAGTTCGTCGAAATTTTGACTTTTCAGGAATCGGAAGTTCGACAATTTTCGAATTCTTTAGATTAATAAGTTCGAAAGTTCGAAAATTATCGAATTTCTTAGCGCTGGAAGTTCGAAAGGTCGAAAAGCTTCGAACTTTTTAGGGCAAAAAATCGAAAGTTCGAAAATCATCGAATTTTTAGTATATCAAGTTCGAAAGTTCGACAAGCATCGAATTTTGCAGCGTAATAAGTTCGAATTTCGAAAAGCGTCGAACTTTTTACTTTAGCAAGTTCGAAAGTTCGACTTCCGTCGAATTTCTTAATATGGAAAGTTCGAAAATTCGAAATCTTTCGAACCTTTCGAACCGCTTGAATCGATCATCGAACTTTCGATTCGAAAAAAGTTCGCGGCATCCCTACCAAGGACGTCATGAGGGATGTTTTTTTTGCTTGTTTTTGTAATTTTAATTTGCCTATAACTTTTAAAATAAAGCGAAATTCGAGAAAAGAAAAGTTTCATTAAGTTACTACGGTTAGTGCGGAGGTCGCTGGTAATCGTGTGAATCCCAATAGGACTAACGAGAAAAGAGTCAAAGTACAGGCTAGCCTGGTGGAAGTCAACCATTTCGTCGTTTACCCTGAGACTGGCGTTTTTTTGTTTTTTTTTTTGAAGAGCAGAACAGAAAAAAACAGACTAAGTTTGAGACCTGTCTGTTTTTTCTGTTACTTCTGCTCTTCAAAAAGAAAAAAACAAAACAAAAAAAAACCCAGTCTCAGGGTAAACGACGAAATGGTTGCCCAATAGGACGCCATTTTCTATTCAAGCATTGCGGGAAGCGACTGTCGTTCTTGCAGGAGATATGACGCACATGCTCCGTTGTACCTCCCACCTTGGTGGCAAAATATTGCAAGAAAGATTGCTCGCCAAAAGTTTAAATATAAAATATTGTAATTATTTCCAAATCGCTGTGTCAATCCAAAAGGGTTGCTTGGAGTTTTTTTTTTTTTTTTTTTTTTTTTAGTGAAGACAGTTACAAAAGGCAAAAAGTTTGCAACTCAGAACGGTCGAAAAGAACATAATGTTAAAAATTTGTGTAGGACCATGTTGGATGAAAGTTAGCGTTGACAGGAAACAATAACGTGAAAAAGATTCACTGTTTCTTGATTTCATTATGTGCATTGCTGCAGTTGATTTTTCCAATAAATGGAATGCCCAATAAATCGCGCATGATAAATGGAATCCTACACAAAAGCTCACCGAACAAAAACTCGCCCATTCTTTCACAGACCCGGAAAAAAGCTCACCAGTAGAATATTTCATGTTGCTCTTAACACGAGTGCGGACAACTTAGGTGCATGAGTGCGACATTAAAATGCAACGATAAATTAAATCTGACAGGTGCATGGTTGGTTGATTAGTGTAGAAACAAGTTCATCTATCGATTGGTTACTGAAGCGAATGCAGTCCCTTACTAGCTCCAGCAATCTTGGTAGATCTTATAAGTGTACCTGGAACCCCTCGAAAATATTTTTGAGACGATTCTGCAGGTGCAGACTGCAGAGTGGGTTTTCACACCCGCTTCTCTGGGGGTTCACCTTGGCTTGTGTCAATACCGTGGCAACGAGCGCCTGATTTTGCTGTAAGCATTCAATCGGCCTCCAGACGCTTGGATGGGCATGGCCGACAAGCTTCTGGAACCCGGTATTAAATCCTTCGCAGGTGTTGGTCGTCCAGTCTTTATCCTGAAGAGTGGCGTCGTGCATATTCCACCGTTCTGGGGGAAACTCCGGTCGTCGTCGGTGCACAGTCAGGCAAAGGGAAGAATTCGCTCTGGGTGCTGCCGCAGAAGGAACAGAAGCATAACGGAAGGGGCCGTTGACATACGTGCAATCAAAGTAGTCCAGCAGGTCGCCGATGTCACCGGTAGGCTTTTCCCTGGTGTAGGATAGTCCTTCGGGCACAACCTGTGGTGCAAAAAACGCCAGCCTATCCAAAATCCCGCACAGTTTTCTAAATTGGTCATCTGTCTTACACTTGTCCAAAAGGCCCAACTCCCGTTCCTTCAAAATATTTTTAAAAATTCGCAACTCAATCATTTGTATAATACAGTTTTGCTTCAGTTTCCCTATCACGTCACCCTGAGATAATCCTCGATTTCAAATATATTTACGACGCACAATGACGGAAAAAACTTGATTTTCCTAGCCATTCACTTCAGATATTGCCCTGAACCCCAAGAAAACCCATGCATTAGTAATGAAGAGACATTGTGCCTAACCTTTATGTGCGCGTTGAGCGCGACATAAGCACAATGAAAAAGTGAGGGCACCGAAGGCTGAATTCGCTTCTTCGGTCACTCTTCAGGTTCAAAAACTTTGGTTCACGAAGTTTCTTGGGCGTGGCACAAAGGTGGCTCCGGCATATCTTGAGTCAAGCAAGCTTGATCTTATCAGCTCCACTCAGTTTCGGTGACCTAAATTTTGGTCCCAAATCCTTGCTTCTCTGCTTATTATGGCTTATCTGTCGACACCATTTGCATGGGATGGGGTAGTAGTTCTCCTAAAAAATGGTGCAATGTCCATCGCGTCCGCACTTTATCCCAACACGTGTCTCGCCCGTGTAGCAAAAAATATATAAATAAAATAAGGAGAGTTTTTGTCCGGAGTCTTTGAAAAAACGGGTGAGCTTTTGTCCGGTGAGATTCTATCCGATGAGCTTTTGTCCGGTCACCTGATAGAGCTCCCTGCCCCCGGGGTTCCGCGACTGCTCACGCCCGCAAATACAGCGCCTAAAAAGTTTGCAACGGAAACGTTGCAGCCTTGCCCAAGCGACACTGACGATTTCTTTGACTGCCTGATCACCACGGATGAGTGTTGAGTGCCTTATTACGTCTCAAGGCGAAGAACCAATTCGAAAAATAAAAACACCGTTAAAACCGAAAAAAAAAAAAAAAAGGGGGAAGGTGATTTCGCCATTGGGCCATGTGATGACTAGAGCTCTTGGAACTGCAATGGCGTCCTCCTGAAAGGTTAGGCCCATAAAGCAGCGGCTAAACCCATATAGCATGCAGAAGACGCGGCGTTTGCTACAGACATAATGACCAACGTATTTGCGGACATGCCTTCTTTCTTTTCGAGGAATGTTTACTTCATGCATCGTACGTTTTCTTGGGAAAAAAAAATTGTCTGCAGAGAGTTTTAGAGCGGGTCAGGCAAACACCACCGAGACTATTTCAAAACCTCCGGATGCGCCCGGCCGTGACGTCATCGAAGTGAGATCGGCCTGGAAGCTGGCTTCACCCGCTGGGCCAGGCTTTGTAATGCGTATAGTCTCTTCGTCCTCGGCGCTGATTTTTTCGATAATGGAACACCGACAGTACGTTTTACTTCAGAAAAGCTCGTAGGAATTAAGACTTTGGTTTGAGTTGGTTGGTTCATGATTATTTAAAAGGTTAAAAGCGCAAAACAAGACAAGGACGTGGAAGAAACGCACACGAAACAGACTGGCGCTCGTAGGGCACGTTTCAAGTCGTGTGTTGCATTTATTTTTTTAAATTCTCACTTCCACGTCGCCTATGTCTACGAACATTTAACGAGTCCAGGACTCGCGCACGATTTGCGAACATATTAAATAACAAAATTCAAAGCAAGAGCCCTGACGCCCCGATTTTCGCATCCATTATTAAAACATCACAGCCGCTTTTCGGGGGTAGAGATTTTCACTCTTTATTTTGCAGGAATAAGCTTGCCAAGTCTATAAAATAGGCTTGAAACACACATAAGAACTTGGGTTTGTGGCGAAAATACAATTTCTCAGGAATAGCTTCCACAAATCAACTAATAACACATTCATAAACAAAGTTTCAAACAAAAATATAATACATCATCTCCAACAAAACAAAGCAAAAAAAAAAAATCTTCGAATATACACGAAGTTTTAAACAATATACAGCAATGTCTCCAAATGCACTGTTGGCACACATTGAAGGGAACAAAAAAACATAAATAGGTCGAAACAAACACACACACACACACAAAAAAAGAAAAACAATTGCCACCGTTAGTGTTTGTGACAATAATGTCTAGGCAGCAGTCGAAATGATAGCAGACGCCTATGCCAGAAGCGTCTTCGGTTTCAGTTTTGCTGCTTTGGCATCAGCAATCATGTTGCTCTCTCGTTTGCACAAGTTATTCAGCAAAGTGTTGGCAGCCACGCCTAGTACATAACCCATCACCACGTGAGGTAAATGGTCATTTATCTTACCATTCAAGGTTCGGCTCTCGATTCGGCAAAAGTTCGGCCCATCGCTACATCCCAGCTGGCACGCTTTCGACAATCTTGAAATCGAAGGACGCCAGTGTGACCCCTTCGCGAACTTTTCCGTGTATTGTTAAAAATTTCAGCGCGTTGACACGTAAAATCAATACCATAGTAGTCCTCATGATGCCGCTGCGTTAGGACTTTGTATTTACCCAACGAAATGTCCGAAAAACGACTTTCTCAATTTTACGAAGTTCCCGATTTAACGAAGTAATTCACGGCTCCCGTCAACTTCGTTAGATCGAGTTTTGATATCTCTCTCTCTCTCTCTCTCTCTCTCTCTATATATATATATATATATATATATATATATATATATATATATATATATATATATATATATATATATATATATTGCTCTCCCATATTCTTTACCACGTTAAGCAACACTTCCTTTGATTTCCTTGCTCTCAAGACTCTGAGTGACTTTACCACGTTATATCGCAAAATCGAAATCCCTCAGGAGCTGCGCTCCCATTTCGCATTAGCGTGAACGTCTGTAATTTTTGTATGCGGGATCTTCAAGCAACGAAAGGACACACCTCCTCTTTTGTAGGACGTATTATCAGTGTGGCCGTGGCTTTTGGGAACCAAACAGCTGCTGGGAAACGTTACCGGGACACGTTGGGGTGGCCTTCAAGCGTCGCGGGAAGCTGATTAATGGAGCGCGTTTGCTCCACCAACACAGTGCACCCACGACGCTCTCGCGGATTTTTTTAGGCTATGAAGTACTGTCCCTTCCCCCGTACGTGTTCACCAGCCCTGCCACCCAGTGATTCCTGCCAATTCTTTCCCTCGTGAAAAACGACCCACTGCATGGCAAGTGTTTCGAGGACGATGACGAGGTGATTGTCGAGGTGGAACACTTCCCCAGAGCCAACACAAGGACGTTTACAACCAGAACATCCGCCAGCTCATCGATCGGTAGAAGTCTGTTGTCTTGTGTGATGCGTACGGAGGTGATGGACCCTCACCACCGCGCTCGTGACCACGGCTCTTTTTAAGCCGTAATAACACGGTGTTTATCAAAGCTCGTTGTAAAGGGGTGTCCAAACAGGACACTACAAAACGCACGACTCCGACAAATCGTGAAAATTGAAGCGGACGCGCCCGCTTCAAGCTCGCTTCAATTTTCACGATTTGTCGGAGTCGTGCGTTTTGTAGTGTCCTGTTTGGACACCCCTCAACACGCTCTGCCTCTGATTTTGGAGACGACCTCAATCTCCGGTCTCTTGGAAATACGTGCGTCTTCCGAGATTCATGCCTTGGCCAGAGTCCGGCCATGCATTTTGGGGTGCTTGGATATGTTGTGGGTCAAAGAAAATCGTTCTGGGTTCCTAGAGCCGTCCTCTCGTGTTCAGTTGTTGTTGTGTCACTGAACCTGAGGTGTTTCTCACTATAGTTGTGAGAAACAAGATGCAGTTTGTGCTCCAATCTTTTATAAATAAAAGAGGCAATTGTACATGCTGCTTGCTCATGGATGCCCTCATCAATTTCGTGTAAATGAACCTGTTAGAAATTCGCCAGTAAGATTTTCCAGATCTCTTTAGCGATGAACACAAACATAGTGTTGTACTTCACAATATATTTTTGAGTCAATCAGGCAACGATATGGTGTGGTACTAATGTCCAAGAAGCGCGCGCGCACGCACACACACACACACACACGCACGCACACACACACATACACATACACATACACACACACACACACACACACACACACACACATACACACAAGGAGATCACTGCTAGTGCCGTGCACAAATGAGAAATGTTTGAACGATTCAGGGATCCCTCATTCATTAATTATTCGTTTTCAGACCGGCTACTTTGGAAAGCTGCATGCTCCGATACATCAACGTCGTATGTGCTAATCGTCATTAAAAAAAAAGAAAACATGCGCGTGAAGAGATGTCCCATTTATTAAACGGCAATCAATCGAGACAGGGGAAACAGCGAAACAGCTGCAACAGTTAGTTTAATTAATCAGAGTGTACTCATGGTTCTGTCAATTGTCACCGCGCGACACGACTTTCTGCTTTCTGTGTAGTCTTGCACCAAATTACTAAAACAATAAAAAAAATCACTTATAATTAACTTTGGTGTAGAAGTTTATTGGATTTTGTAAATAAATATTTTAGATAGATAAATAGATAGGATCTGTATATATAATCTTTATAAGTGTTCAATAAGATTACTTGATTAGTGGAGAGAAAAAGTCATTTAACGTTACTTGAAAAAGTGACTCTTACTTTTCCGATTACTTCGTTTGCTTTATGTCGTTATCACTTGCGACACTGAGAAACTCGAGATTATTTGAGCTTTGTTATCTTGTGGGCACCAGTGTTAAGAGGCTTTTGTAGATAGCTAGAACTTCACTGTCCCAACTCGAGACTCAACAAACCCCTGCATAAACTGTCCATCTTTTGTACAGCTCGGTAAAAGTTATTGTATTCAAGATTTTTATTAAGTGAAAATATCGCAGTATTTTTAGCTCGAAACATGGTGACTAAGTAATCGTATATACGGAAGCCGAGGAGGGTGGGGCTTGTAAAAAAATACTAACGGCCACAAATCAATTTATTACTTCCAAAAGTAATGATATTACTCTTGCGACTACAAAAAAAAAAAGGAATGCATTACAAGTCTACTATGATTACTTGTAATGACAACACCTTGTCGGAAGCGCTCCTCGGGGCCGTTGTGTTTCCTCCTCCTTTTCTAACACCCATGTGCGGCGTGAGATGGCGTTGCCTGCGTTGGGAGGCTATGCGGAGCGCAAGTCCGTCTGCTTCTTTTTTGCAGGGTTTGTGGTGACGTCATCAAAAAGCCGAGCTCTGATTGGCTCTGATTCGAAAGATAGTGGGTAGCGGACCATTTGAAATTTAATGGCAGCCAAGTTTTCGAAGTCTATTACTATCTTCTTCACCTTCGGAATGTGCTGCCTGTAAAAAAAAGAAATGTTGAGTTTAGTCGCAAATGAGGCACCCAGCTATTCTTTTCTTGCAGGTGACTATGCTACCTGGATAAAGATCAAATCAAGATCAAATCAAATGTGAAGAAGGTTACTATCTTGATAGTAATTCCTTCTTCACAATTCATCTGTGATGGGAAGTTTCTACAAAATATTGGTGGGCAAGCTTCGACCAACACTAACATTGTTGAAGGCGCGCCTCGGAGAGCAATCGACACTTGCCTGTTTGAAACAATAAAAAATGTAAAGGTTTATCATTTTAGCGGTGTTTTAAAGAGATGGACAGCAACCTTTATTTTTAATGTCCTATAAAGCGTGAAACGCGGTATTTGAGGAGCAACAGTTTAAATTTGTTTAGAAGACGCTAAACAGTCGTTTCAGAGAGTGAAAGACCCACTTTTAGGAATTTTTCTAAATTTAACTGGACTAAGGACACGTGACAGCCCCAATTTTCCCAATAAATTTCGTGGGAAACTAAATTGGTGTAATAGGTCATGCGACGTGTCACGTGGCATCAATTTTCCCGCCATATTTGCAGGAGAAACTGTTTAAGCGAGAATTTTAAATGGGAAATTCGATCGGTGTGTAGGTAACATGACGTCAAGTTTCCCGCCATATTTAGCGGAGAAACTGTTTCCCCGCCAAATTTAACCGGGAAATTCCCCACCAAATTCAGCGGGGAATTGCAGAAACTAGTTGATGGACAGGCGGACAAAATTTTGGATTCCGTTCAAAAGCATTTCATTTTGTTTAGTGCATCACTCTTTCTTGACTCAGAAAAACTTCCAACAATGTCATAAATGACCGTTACTCTCAGATAGCATCTACATTTGACCTCGCCAATACGGCAAAACCTTAGCTCTAGCAATATGCAGTTCCGGGGTCGCTTCACCAATGGCGGCAGCGTGTGCTCTCGTTGTAAGCGGGTCGTAAGAGTTCACAAGAGCTCGGTCCTGAGCAAACGCAAGTGTGAACAGGTCGTAAGGGGCTCTAGACCGCTTTTTGCAATAGTCCATTTACGATCACGACTCAGTGCAAGGGCTCTTAGCATCCTCAAACAACCAGACATTACATTCATACCTGGACGATTCGCATGGCGAGTTGAAAGGCAGAGACATTTGCAATCAGAGCTGTGAGGAGGTGCCGAAAGCATAGATCGTCTGCAAAACTTCTCCCCGCCTTTTAAGTCGCCACGCGAAGATGTGGTGGATGCGCATTTGCAACCAATCCGTGCAGGAGGCGTCTGCCATTAAATTGCAACTGTGAAGGTGATGATGTTAAATGATGAGGACACGGAATTCCGCAAACTGTGACGCAAGATGAGCATGGCTCGTGAGAAGAACAGTATACAAGCATTTAGTGTCCCTCAGGACGCAGCCATCGCGCCCTTGCTTTTGGCAGTGTCCCGGCGGCAGCGACGGCGACCTGAACCTGCCTGGGCGTCGTCCCCACAGACCTTCACGCGTGTCCGGACTCGTGCCTCGGCTGGCCGTTGCACTGGTGTCGTTCCATCCTTCTGCCTGTCTCCTTACCTTCTATTCGCGGATCTTGTTCATTCATTTTAAGTACACCAACTTGTTCTTTCCGCTTGGCGGTCGCTCCCCAATATTCGCATCATTGCAGATCCCTGTCCTCATCTTATGGCGCCTTCTGGTGTTTGCAATTTCGTCTGATTGGAAAAAAAATATAGTAAATAGACCTTAAAGGGATACTACAACAAAATTTCGGCGCTCATTTTTTGGTCTATATGTGTTCGAAGGAGCAGTATCACATCGAACATACCAATATCTTGTTAAAAAAGTCTCGAAAAGGAATTTTAAAACGAATTAAACGATTAGCAAAGAGCACCTGGTGGATGTCGCTAACGCCTCGTTTGTAATGCTCGTCTAGGAACCTTGACAGCTAGTGACGGAGGTTGTCTCGTCTCCGGCCGCGACGAGAGAAGAGGGGCAGGAGGAACTCCCCTCTTCCCGAGAATGCCTTTTGTGTGTTGCAGAAGTCGCTATTGTCCCCCTACAAGATTACAGAAGATTAGCCCGTCACTCAAAATTCGTACAAAAGCAGCCGCTTCGGTGGCTGGAACGACTAGGCCGTCCTCTCGACGTCAGCCTCGCCGTAGCTTTGCTCGTCCTGAGACGACCTACGTCACAATTGCGTTGGATGTCACGGGGTCTCCGCTGGGCCTTCTCCGAGCGCTTGCCAGAGTGGGCCGTTTATAACGAGAAATACAGCCACCAGCCTCAAAATACAAACGTGCGATTGCCATTTACGGATATTGTGGATCATATTCAACCTACTTTTGAACACGACGGGAATATTTCAAATTTCGTTGAAGTATCCCTTTAAAGGGGTCATGAAACGCTTTTCCCACTTTTTCCTGTTTCGCTTTCCTCTTCAACTCATAAATCCCGCATTCCACTTAACAGTTCAGGAAGACGAAAAGAGGGGAGGGCCCCCTTGCTGCGAATCTGGTTTGTGTACCTGGACGCTTCTGGTCAAGAGATCCAACGAGTCAAAAGATCCAACGAGTCAAAAGGTCCAATAATGGATCTTATGACTCGTTGGATCTTTTGACTCGCTAGACACGAGTCAGAAGATCCAATGTGGGTCAAGAGGTCCAACGAGCCAAAAGATCCAAAGAGTCAAAAGGTCCACGGCGAGTCAAGAGGTCCAACGAGTCAAAAGATCCAACGAGTCAGAAGGTCCAATAATGGATCATTTTACGCGTTGGATCTCTTGACTCGGCAGACACGAGTCAAAAGATCCATTGCGGGTCAAAAGCTCCAATTATTCGAGAACTGCCGCTTCATATTGCGAAGGAGTCACGGCAAGCCCCTTACCGCTTTTTCCCTAGTCGCGGGGAGGCGTTGCACAGTAGGAATCAGTCCAGTAGGCCTTGAGCCAATCGCACGGGGGCTCAGTATAATGCTCAGCACCCTCTAGAAAATGTCAGCGGGTGCCTAAGTCCCTGTTGCCCCCCCCCCCCCCCCTCCCCCCTGGTTCCTGGGTCCTTGACGCACTAGATTCTTTGAACATCAAAATCATTTCACGACCCCTTTAAAGGGGTCATGAAACGTTATCGGGTTGGAACGTTCATGGCTTTGCCGGTTTGTACTGGTCCCAGCCTGGCATAAGTATAATCGCATAGACCGCCACTGATTCAGAAACTTCTCTGTCGCGGTGAAATTGTGAGTCGCGAAGATAAAAGGGGACTATTTCTTTCAGTCTTGCCTTTGCAAGGCTGAATGACGTAATTGGGAATCAAAATCACCCGACTGACGACAGTTGAGCGCGGCTCATGCATAGATTTGACACGAGCTACGTGAGCACTCGCCTTCAGCTTGTAACAGGCAATGCCTCGGCGGACAGTCGGGTAGTGGCTCGTGTACAAGCACTGCGGTGATGAGAATAGCCGAGCTCTAACAATGTCTGAGCTGAGCACACGTTCTCTACTTTGTCAAACCCAGCACGTGGGTAAGATTAACGTTAAAGGTATAGGATAGGCGCCGAGCCACGTGGCCGCTTTTTCTGGCTCCGAGTTGAGGGGATGAACGATGCTCATATTTCTCAAATTTATTTGGCGACTGTGCTTAGAAAGAAAAACCAATGCAAGTTTATTCAGTGATCAACGTTAGGGAGTGATTCTAACTAGTATTTAGCACAAATAGTAAAATCGTTTCAAGGCTCCTTTAGGATGCGCCTTAGATGGCCACTTCGAAAAGAGGAACTCCCGATAATTCACCGGTTCTTTCCGTGCAGGTAAGATATCGAACTTGGCCAATGGGAAGGCAAATGACGAAAAATAATTCAAAATAGTAATTTAAAATATATATATTTTTTAAAGGCGGGTTGATATTATGGTGAACGTTTCCTTTTTAATAAACTTTTAGGTTCGAGAAATGATATAACAAAATTTAAATTAGCGTTTGATAAGCGGTCGCTGTAATGGATCATGGTATGCAAGGCTCAAAATATGTCGCGGAAATGTGGAAAGTACAATGGTTTTTTTTCTCGGCTTTATTACGTGCGAATAGATAATTAAGTTTGCACGAACAAAATCCACTAGGTGCCGTACATTAAAAGGATAAGTAATATAAAACTTGCGTGATTATGAAAAAAAAAAAAAAATATATATATATATATCGGTACTTTCGCGATACATCGAAAGACTAATAAAAATGTGCATGGCCTTTGATCAACGCTGCTCAACCTGAACACGAGCCAGTGAAGCGTGTGCATGCACAGCAAGCGGTACTAGGGTCCTTCTCCAACTCTGAAATGCCTCGAATACAAAGGTCTTCAAGCCGTCGCGCTCTCGGCTTCGAGCATAGGCTGCGGCCCATCCTTAGGTGAAACGGATTATAGCGTGTGGTCTTTAGGTGCACCACGCAGTAGTGATTACACGAACGTAAGCCGATTCTGGTTCTCCGTATAGCGTTTTGCCAGTTAGCAGTCATGCTGCACTGGCCGGCAAGATACTGCGACATGTTGACCCTCTGAATGACTGCCAAACATTATACTGTCGAAATGATCCAGATAACCCTTCCTCCTGGTTTAGCTCATGCTGCGTATAGACCAACGCGCTGTTTCCATACAAGCCCTCACAAGGTGTGGGAAAAGGCGAAATTTCCGCACGAGGTGTGGCCACTGCACGTGCGCAAGGAGCGCGTCAAGTGGACCGTCTGCGCGTGCGCAATGCCGATAACAGCACCACCGCAGGGGCGGGACGTCAGCACCGCGTGTTGGTCTATACGTGCCTTGTAATTCAGTCACCAATTAACTGTCCATTGATTTCTAAATTCGAGAAACACCCTACGTCCCCACTACCGTGCAGCATGCACAACTCTCGGGGAATTCCTGCCTTAGACAAGCCTACCGCACGAAGAGATGGCGTTGGTCACCATCCGATTAAACTGGAAAATGAAAAGCGCCGTGACACAGCCAGCCATCCGGTATCCCAAAATCGGTCGTCCCCGAGGCCACTGTATCCTCTTCTCTCATCTCCCTATTTTTTGTCTTTGTCATTAGACGCGGGATCCCATCCTGCTTCAGTGCAGTGACCGTCACTCCCCTCCTTGTCACCCGAAAGCCGCCATGCATCGTACTTTTGCCTTTCTTGCTTTTCCTGCTCTTCTTCAAAGCCCTTTCCCCCTTCCCCGGTGATCGGGCAGAGAGTCAAGAGGTTCAACGAGTCAGAAGGTCCAATAACGGATCTTTTGACTCGCCAAACACGAGTCAAGAGATCCAATGTGGGTCAAGAGGTCCAACGAGTCAAGAGATCCAATGTGGTTCAAGAGGTCCAACGAGTCAAGAGATCCAACGAGTCGAAAGATCCACGGCGAGTCAAGAGGTCCAACGAGTCAAAAGATCCAACGAGTCAGAAGGTTCAATAATGGATCTTTTGACGCGTTGGATCTTTTGACTCGTTGGACCTCTTGACTCGGAATCTACCTGGACAGAGCCATTGTCCCCCTAGAAGATTAGCCCGTCGCTCGGAATTCAGACAAAAGTTGCTTTCCCCAACCCGCTCAGCCAGAAGCTGACAGTGCTGTGGAAGCTACGTGCTCGTTGGGCCAGCCACACTTTTGCCACGAGATCACGCCCCTTCGCGCATACCCACGCGCAGAGAATGAGGGCACGTGATGAAAGGGAGGCGGCTGATTGGTCGGGCAAGCGCGTAGCTTCCACCACAATGTCAGCTTAGCGTTGAAGGGACTAAGTCAGGTCCAGTTTCGTGTGACTTGCGTTTGGACCCGATGACGCGGTTTTAGGACCGCGGATGAATCACTGTGAAAAGGCAGAGAGCTTACGAATGGGGAGGAGGTACGAAATAGTCCGCTGTGTTTTCAAATTTTCGCACAGAAAATCAGGCTTTTGACTTTCTTCTTTGGCCCACTGAACGAGATTCCGGGTCAAGAGGTCCAACGAGTCAAAAGATCCAACGCGTCAAAAGATCCATTATTGGACCTTCTGACTCGTTGGACCTTTTGACTCGTTGGACCTCTTGACTCGCCGTGGATCTTTTGACTCGTTGGATCTCTTGACTCGTTGGACCTCTTGACCCACATTGGATCTCTTGACTCGTGTTTGGCGAGTCAAAAGATCCAACAAGTCAAAAGATCCATTTTGGGCCTTCTGACTCGTTGGATTTCTTGACTCCCTGCCCGATCACCGGGAAAAAGGGGGGGGGGGGGGGAGGGCGAGGGCTTTGAAGAAGACTAGGAAAAGAAAGAAAAGCAAAACTACGATGAATTACGGCTTTTGGGTGACAAAGAAAGGCGTGACGGTCACTGCACTGCAGCGGGGAGGGGGGGGGGGGGGGGGGAGGGATTTCGCGACTAATAACCAAGCAACAGAAAAGAGGGAGATGACAGAAGAGGATACATTGGCCTCGGGGACGAGAGGTTCTGAGATCCTGAATGGGTGGCTGTGTTACGGCGCAGTGCGTTTTCCATTTCAATCGGCTGGTGACCAACGACATCTCTTCGTGCGGCATGCTTGACTAACGCAGGAATTTCCTGAGAGTAGTGCACGTTGCACAGTCGCGGGGACGTAGGTTGATTCTCGAATTTAGAAATCAACGAACTGTTAATCGGTGACTGAATGACGAGGCACGTATAAACCGACATGCGGAGCTGACGTCCCGCCCCTGCTGTGGTGTTGCTATCGGCATTGTGCACGCGCAAACGGTCCATTTGGCGCGTTCCCTGAGCACGTGCAGTGCCCCCACCTCGTGCGGAAGCTGTGCCTTTTCCCACACCTCTTGGAGATGTTTAGGGGTTAAAAGCGCTAAAAACGACGGACGAGTAGGAGAGGCACACACCACAGAGCGCTACTCGTCCGTCGTTTTTAGCGCTTTTAACCCCTAAACATGTTCAACCAACTAGCCCAAATCCAGTCCCTTCTGCAATACCTCTTGGAGGCTTGTATAGAAACAGCGTCTAATACGCAGAATGAGCTCAACTGAGAGGAAGGGTTGTGTGGATAATTTGAACAGCATTATGTTTGGCAGCCCTCCATGCAGATAGTCAACATGTCACAGTATCCTGCCGGTCAGTGCAGCATGACTCTTGACTGGCACCACGCTGTACGGAAAACCAGCATCGACGTGCGTTCGTGTAACCACTACTGCGGGGTGCACCTAAAGACCCCAGGGCCCGTTTGCTCGAAGCCGGTTAACTTTGACCGCGGTTAAAAGTTAACCGCCCTTTCCTACTTGGTACCTACAAGTACGTAGCCAAGTTTGACGAGGGCTGGATGAGCGATAGCTGCGTGTTTTATTATGGGGTGATAGCTGGTGTCACCTACTGGCTGTAGCGAATACACGAGGCCTCCGTGGAAAGGTTCCCAAAATGGGGGGCCCAAAAACGCGCGCTACCGAGTAGTCGCGAAGCAGTGCGGCATACATTTCAGCTTAGGAAACAAATTTTACTGCTCGTGGTACAGATAATCGGCAAGGTAAAACTAAGTTAACCCTTGCTTGTAAATTTTCTAAATATTTGGCTGTCTGAAGTGAAGACAAGCCTCGTTGAAATTTCCTTTTGAATTCAAAAGAGGACGACGAAGTTGAGTCCTAAAAACGACGAGAAAGAAGTGAGCACTGAAAGGCGGGCGGTACACCGGCAGCATGGTTCGCCAGCGTGTAAGAACTGTATATAAAACCATCCTAAATGGAAAAACCTGTAATTCGGCTCCACTGAAAATTGACGTATTAGTAAATTACCCGAACACCGAGAAGAACGCTGTAAGTGTAATTCTACGATCCGCGCGCGCTGGCCTTCCACTTATAAAAGATTTGAAGTAAATAATCATAATAAATCTGACGAACGCGCGTGCACGGCGAAATTTGTTTTAGGCTTTTTGCTTCAGAACAGTTATTACTGCAGACGCCAGCACGTGCAGCGCGTATAGCATGCACCTCGGTGCTTGGGAAATTTAGCAAAAGGTATATTGAGACGCTGTCTGCTTTTGTGTGCTATCAATACCCGGCCGATTGAGTCAAGGCAATCCACTATCCAAAGACGTTGCCATGCCGACAACTATCGCGTTCATTTAGGCTTAGGACTAGCCAGAATCGAAAGTCTATCTAAAAATGCGGCGAGGTCATTGCTCATACTTTGCGTCTTAAGTGAGGTAAGGCGAAGCAAAAACCTCCTGCACCATTCATTGCTGACTAACGCGCCCGCTATAGCAGCTACTACGACGTATTAGTTCCAAAGCGAGTGGCGCTCACTCATTGGGGCACCGCCATGTTTCCCCGCCGTCCTTAAGGCGCATTCACACTGAGCAAAAAACGCGCGTTACGGTCGACGTCGACGCCGGCGTCGAAAAAAGGGATGCATTCAGACTGGGCCCGCCTGGCCCACCGCCGTCTGCGTCATCCCGAAAGATCCCGCGTCCGTCGAGAGAGCACGGGAATTTGTCGCGTCTGTACTTTTCTTTTTTTGTTGTTTCGTCTGCTTCGTCGGGCGTTTGCCGCCAGTTTTGCGCTTGGCGGTTCGACCAGATCGACTACGATGGACAACGGCGAAGATTATGAGGAAGATGTGCTGCTCACAACACTTCTGGTGTGCACAGTGAAGTACAAACGGAGGCAGCAGCGTAGAAGACGTTGGTGGGTGAGGCCGTTCCTTCTCGACCGTGAGGAGCACGGCCAAGCTTGTCGTTTGGCGGCCGAATTGCGCGCTCATGATGAGGAGTACTTTCGGGAGTGAGTATATTCCACACGTTCTACTAAAATTGCTCACAGCCACGTAATGTTGCTTGTGATGTTAATAAGCCCCAATTTCGACAGCTACATCAGGATGCCTCCGAGCACTTTCGACACCTTGCTCGAGCTGGTCCGCGACAAAATCACAAAAACAAACACTAACTGGAGGAAAGCCATCGCGCCCGAACAGCGGCTAATTGTGACACTCAGGTGAGTCAAGAAAAGGAATTCTGCGTAAATAACGAAATTAAGTGTTTTACACTATGTAATTAAAAACGCACTTCAGAATCTAATTAATTTCTCCGGGATCACGTCAATGCGCTGCAGGCGTCAGGTGTACGTCTACGACGTAATAATGCGCGAACTAATTAAAAACTAAATAAATATTTTGTGTTAAGTATGCGTTTTCCCGCATTCCAATCGGAGATTTCTGGCCTGTCCTCTCTCGGCAATTAATACTCTTATTTATGATTTTCAAACCTTGAGACTGGGCTAGGGAAGTTCGCTTCCTTCACTGGGTTTAAACATCATACGATTAATACGCACCAGCCCGCCTTCACTTTGGCCATTCGCTCTAATAACTTTAATCTTCATTATGTGAGACGCAGGTTCCTTGCTGCTGGACAATACATCCGTGGTGCCTCATTTAACAACTGCATGGGCCGCTCCACAGTGTGTGGCATCATTCAAGAAACTTGCCAAGCCCTCTGGGATGTCTTGCAGCCACTGTACTTGACATGTCCACAGCACGCAGATGAGTGGTTGCAGGTCTTTAACATCATGGACTTTATTAACCGAGTATTGAACACACGCATGGGGCATTTAAAGGGTAGCGTGTTACGAGTCATGCAATGACTGAATCGTAAAAACAATTATAGTTCAGTATGGCAGAGCTGATGTCATGGTCTTTGGTTGATGCATTTCAGTTAGGTCACACACTGCAAAGACAGTAGCATGTGTAGCATTGTGCGACAGGAAAAATAGCAGAACAATATCATTAACATAAAAATTGCAGAGCTCCAAACCAGCCAAGCAGAGAGCGGGAGGTAGGTACTAAATATTTAATTCTCTAGATTGCTTCGGAATTTGAGGAGACCTGGAATTTCCCACACTGCCTGGGGGCCATGGATGGTAAGCATGTTGTGATCGAGTGCCCAGGCCGCACAGGCAGCCTCAACTTCAACTATAAAAAGACGTTCAGCAAGTTGATGCTTGCCATCTGTGATGCCAAGTACAGGTTAGTGCAATTTAACTATTTTATGGGTAATATTTTATTGTTTAAACTCAAGGATTTCACTTGCTGAATTGTCACTCGGGGTGACTGCCAAGTTCCCCAAGTATTTTTTCTGCATTCCACACTCTGCTTATACATAAAGTGAATGTGCACTATAAAAGCAATCAGCATGATTTGGCAAAGAAAGAAGTTTTTTTGCACCAAGGTTTTGATGTATGTATAAAAATTTGCATGCATATCTTTATGCATTCTGCATAACCAACTGCCAGGCTGATGCCATATCACATGTAGAACACAATTAGTTTTCTAAAAATTCATCAATTTAACTAGCTGCATCTAAAGCAGTTCAGCAAGTCGAGATCATTCCATTAACGTATGCATATATCCATATTTAACTTCTTTTGCAGGTTCCTTTATGTGGAGATAGGCCATCATGGAAGTGAAAGTGATGCAGGCATTTTCAGACGCTCAGATTTCCTACAAGCTATTGCTGAAGGCCAACGGCGTCTCCCAACAGCAAGCTGGCTGGGGAGCAGGAAAGTCCCCTACTTCTTTGTCGGGGATGAAGCATTTCCCCTGAAGACGTTCGTAATGCGACCGTTTCCAAGAAAGAGTAAGAAAGCAAGAGCGAGTTCTATTTTGCGCTCAATGAGCAACTTAAAGCATTCATACATGGTTTGTCTACTAATCTTTGTGAAGGATGCAGTTCACTTGCTATGAAACGCCATTCGCAGATGGAAATAGAACAGGAAAACACTGTATGCCGTTTGCTAACCGACTGGAAAAAAAGTTAGTAGTGTCTATGAACCCGGTGCCGCGGCTAAGCAAGATTGGATGCAGGCTAAAATTGTGATTGTCTGCTATTTTATGTTGGAAGCTATGAATTGATAACCCACACTTTGTTTGCAAGTATCAAGTTGTTCTGCTGCCATACACAAGCTGATATCGACCGGTGGATGAAGTACTATGGACAAGCATGTCACGAGACCTCTCACCATTTGCAATTTGGCGTGACATACTCACCAAAATATTGCACAATTGCAAACTCGCAAACAGGTCAAAAATGTCTCATTGATTCATTATGTGCAAGTTGTGGTGCAACATCCAATCAGCAGCAAAGAACATTCTCCCTGTCACCTTGACCAAAATTAGACCTCGCAACTGCGAACTTAAATGGCACCGGTGATGAAAAGAGGCATTCAAAAAGGAAATGTCAATTCATGTTATATTTCTGTCTGTCAATAGATCTCACAGGAAGACCTCCCAGGGTCTTTAACTATCGGCTGAGCAGAGCCCGGAGGGTAGTGGAGAACACCTTCGGCATACTGGCACAGAGGTGGAGGATACTGCGTCGGCCATTCGCTGCAAAAGAAGAGACCACGGACAGAATTGTGGCCGCATGTGTGGTCCTCCATAACTTCCTGATGAAGCACTCTGAAGTGTCTGAATGCAGCTATGTGCCCCCTGGATCTGTGGATGGGGAAGACTGGGAAGGCGAGCTTGTCAAGGGACAGTGGAGGTCAGAAGAAGACGAAGGGTCTGGTCTCACTGATGTTCCACCTCGGGGCACAAGATGCACTGAGTATGTATATAGTATGTTGGTATGCAAGCTTGCCTCATTCGTTTTTTTGTGAAATTCCAGCCAGGCTTACAGTATTCGGGAGTACTTGTCTATGTACTTTGAGATGGATGGCAAAGTGCCATGGCAGGACGAGTACCTTGATAGACACTGAGCTGACACAGGTATTTCCCCTCACATCTCTTGATTATCAGGAAAATTACAAGTTTCATACATAGTGATGTCTTGTTAATACAAACCCCGTTAATATATGGATACGCCGCTATATGTATAGACAACAATTTCAAGGACGTACTGGGTCAAAACATGAATTTGTCTTGTTTTTATGAACAATGCCCATAATGCTTTTTTGAGGAAACACAGGTGCAATATTAACAAGACATCACTGTACTGCATGTGAACTTTGGGCATGAAAAATTTTTAATGATGAAAACTTACACATTTTTTATATTACAGCCAAAAAAAGTAACAATTCAAGATGATGTGAAACCCTATTGAAGATCCTTTTTCACAAAAAAACATACTAAAATAATATAGACAAATTAATTTTTGCAAGCAGTGACTTGAAAAATAATCTGTAAGAACGGGTCATGCATATGTATTGCCCCATGGTAATGATTTGATGTATACCAATCAAAAAATTGTGCTCACAAAATATTTTTTAAAACTGCACTTCACCTAACTTGTGAAATATCAAGCCTGCAAAAATACTTTTACAGTAACCACAGATAATATTTCCCAGGACTTATACCATGGGATATGTCCCCATTATGACACATGGAGATTGATTATTTGCAGTGGGAGGGTAACTTATTGTGTGTGTCTATGAAGACTTCTCTTTATGGTAGTGTTACGATAGTGACTTCTCTTCTCCAAGTACTGTTTGCTGATAAAGCCTCGTTCTGCCTGATGATCTCTTTAGCACATAGGGTCTTGCAGCAGATATAACCAAGTGCTTCAATAACTCTTCTGTTTAAAATACAATTTATTTAAAACCTTACATGTTAGGAATGCACAGAGTTGAAAGTTGCTGGATTGAACACAAAAATATAATGAAGCCCCAAATAAATGTAAATATTGCACTTAGGTAAACAATTAACGAGGCAAAAAGAAAGACTGCAGGAGCGGCTCTGGCAATTCTGAAACTGAATAGAAAAAAAATATTGGCACTTGCCTTGCCAGACATGGAATCATATAATTTGTTTCTAGATTAATGTAAATAGGTATTGCACTTGAATAAAGTAAGCAGGTGAAAGATTATGCATTTACCAAAATATAGGTCAACCTTTTTGTTTTTTAAACACAGCCAGTGCATTTTTAGAGTACCATAGCAACGAGGTGCTTACTGATGAAGAGGAGTATGAACATTTTGTATGGTTAAATTGTTGGCATGGGATGGAAAGTAATGCATATAGTATATTCCACTGAAATAATGTTAGAGTAAAATAGTTTTGAGTACCAAAATTGATGTTTTCTTTAAGTTGTAATAATTCCATTCGTTCCAGTTCACTTCACCAATTGACTGCACGATGACGAGCACATTTAACAGAGCTAACACGTCAGAACAGACCAGGAGCACGAGGAATATTGCGAAACTTTGATATACCGTCGGTGTTTGATAAAGATCAAGCACCGACAGTAGTAATCGAATAGTAGTATCTTATTCGAAGCTGTAATTGAAAGTTCCAAACAGTGACACAAGCCTACTGTAGCAATCCGCATGAGTAGCGGGGCCTGAGCCAGTATAGTTTCAGTATTAATATATAAAAAGAAAAAAATTAATGAAGTGAAATTAAACATTCTAAAAACTTGATCCATGGGCTATGTCGTTAAATAGGTTGGCCTATATTCCAGTGAATGCAAAGGTAATTTTTGTGTCTTTTCTTATAGAACCATGCAAACCTTATTTGTGATACATGTGGTCTGTCTGCGTTCGCTCCTGCAGCCTTCTTTTTTGAAATTCATATGCAATTTTGTCCATTTCATGGAGAGCTGCCACCTGCTCCTCAGCTCCAAGAATCCTCACTTTGGCGGCAAGTGCCATGCAGTGAAAGTGGACACTGTCCACATTGGCTTCCCCTTGCTGCCGCCTCTCGTGGAGTTCCCTAAGCCTGCTGATGCAGTACTGCATAGTATCTTCACAGGGGTCATGTTTTCTGCAAATGGGAAGGAGTGTAAATTTTCCTTGTTGTCTTTTATGTTTTTTTTTTTAACTCTTGTGTTTGATTAAAGCGAATGACTGATTGATTTACGTTGATCTAAGAGCATAGCTTACTTAGAGTCCCTGGATGAAGACGACCGGGCTCTCTTTTGTTTCGGTTTCGTTGCCCCGACAGCTGACACTGCCACACTGTAAATAAACATATGCCATGAGTAGCAACAATGTGTCTCGGGGAGGGAGGGGGACCTTATTTTTTTTTTAACGTGAAACATTCTTTGGTTAGGTTTAAAGCGTGGCTGCGAGGGTCGCTGCTGATTGGTAAACCCGTGGGAGAGGAGTGAGGGGTATGTTGCTGATTGGTTAACGGGAAGGTCATGTGACCAGGAGTGCAATGGGTTAGAAAGTTCTGGAAGATCAAGATCAGAGTTATCATTTCAAGTGTATACATGCCGCGCATTGAATCATCTGATGAATGTAGGTGTCTGGGTGAACACACTAGACATGCTGCTAAATGAATTTTGCTTAACGTTTGTGGTGCTAGAACGTTTCACATATGGAACACAATTGCCTAGCAATTCATTTTCAATTGGGGCAACTCTGAAATTGTGGGTATGGCTATGGAGTCCCAAAGGGCAGCTGCCATCTTGGATCCCCATTCAGTTGCCCCTGGTAGTAATTCAAACAAAGTAAACACCACGCTGTGGAAGCCCGTGGTTTTGATTTCCAAGCTCGATTTTTTCAATTAATTAATCATACTTATACTTGTTCCCATACAAAATTATGTGGATACAGAGGACAACATATAAAGCCCAACAGTTGGTGGCCTGCTAGCCCTGTCTTGGGAATATATAGTAAAGAAATTGTATACAACATGGCCATTTTCCATGTATGTAATTGTTTAATAAATTTATAGCTACCACCATGCAAGTAATAGTGAAGAAATTCACTCTATGGTTGAATGAACACTTCCTACAACCTCCATTTCCTTTAGCTGCAAACCTTAAAACCATAAGGAAAAAACAAAGGCTGAAGATTTAAAACATGGTTGAATGCACAAGCCTCATTAGCTTCAAGAGGATACAGAAAGTAATATGGCGAGACATACCCAAGATTGGTGTCCTCTACAGGAATGCTAGGATAAGGAAAGAGAGAAAGGGTAACAAGAGGAATGCATGTGAAAGCCCCTGTCATATTAATAATTCTGAGGTGTATACCTCAAGCACTTTTCAGCTCACAGCTGCAAAAGCAACAAGTGCAAGCTATCCCACAATCCATCCTTTAAAATTAGCAAATTACATGCAAGCACTCCTTCAGAGATGCACATCTCAAAGCCATGATCTGGTGCCTGTACAGGGGCATAAACATATGGTCAGTGTACCATATGTTTAGGAACCCTCCCCCTCCCTCGTTTTATGCCCTAAATTTTACACATGCAGAAATCAAGATGGGGGTCAGGACATCCGGACTCCCTCTCTAAATCCACCCCTGTGCCTGTATGCATGCAGCCTTTGCTGTCCTATAGGCCAAGGAGAAAATGGAACATAGAAAGTTTAACATAGTCAATTGAAAAAGGGCCTATGCATTTATCAGGCTGCCTTAGAGCAGAGGAACTTTTTCCTGCATGCGACAAGAATGTGGCAGATGGCAACTTGTGTATTAGATTTCGTCAGCATTGTCATAATTATACAATTATCCTGTTATGAACACACAAACTTACACATTAATGTGTAACCTGCTATTATATTTTGAAATAACCCTGTGACAACTATTTCAACCTCTTGAATCACTAGCCTGCAAAAGCATATGCAACAGCAAACGAGAACAGGGAATTTCCCCTAAGTAATCATCACTGCCACAAGGGTGTCACATGATATTCATATATATCACCTTCCTGCTTGACTCACCAAGAAACACCAAGCTGATACCATCCAGTGCTACTTGGTGAGCCAAACATTCAGGAACCTCCAGATTGGACTCAGAAACTTGTGTTGCAGTGATTATACAACTCTTCGGCCACCTCAAAATTGCACGCTGTTTACAAAAATTCCGGCGCCGCCCACATCAGGTGTGGGCGCTGCACCTGCACATAAACCACATATACAGAAACAAGATTCTCATGAAATGAAGTGTCTGCACACACACTGACGATAGCAGTGCCACAGCAACGGCGTAATGTCGGAGCCATGCTGGCCTTTTACGAAACGCAGGAAAATTTCTGCACCACCCAAAAGATGATATATAATATTTCAACACGAGAGCAAAGAACTGTCATGTGTGCACAGTAAAAAAAGTAGAGGAAATATGTGAAAACTTACATGTCATCGCCCTCTACAATAATCTCCTCAACGTCTTCATATGGAGGCTGATCATGATTGATGCTGAAATCAAGAGATGAATATACCCCCGGTGAGTGACCACACACTGCAGCTCTGAGAAAGTATCAAGATAGTTGGAAACAAAAACGAACTATCACAGGTTGGGGTCCATGAAGGGTTAACTAGGGCGATCGCGGCTTTTTTATATAAAATATTTATTTCAGACACTATATTTCCGCCGCATTCTCGGACGCATGACTGCTATTTATCACATTAATTTCATTGTAAGGCAACACAAGCCCATTCGGGTTGATCCGGAAATTAAACAAAGAGTACCAATTTCACAGCACTCACGGAGGACTTGGTGTTGTGGGGCTTGCCGTCGTGACGTTCGTCCAAACTCTGAAATTAATCGAGTGGTGATCGCATACGTCCGACTAGCATACAGGGAAAATTGTAGCTTACCGTGCTTCCTCATTCCCGCTGTCGAGCAGAGTCCGCATTCGAGCGAAGTAGGCCCACCTCACTTTTGGAACTTCGCTGGCTCCTGCACCGCTCCGCTGTTTGTTCCGAGCATCAACTTGGATTCTGGTGTACTTGTCCCTCGCATTTTTGAATTTACTTTCCGCTACGTGACCTGTATCAAGGCGGCCCGATATTAAAACAAAGATGATCAATCGGTCATAGTCTACCGCCAATGCGAAAACTTTTCAACTTACCTTCCATGCCGAATTCCGATCCAATTATTTTCCAGATGCTCGATTTTAGTGTTTTGTTCTTGTAGTCCGGATGCCGCTTATCGTATAATAGA